CAAGATTTATAATTTTTCGTTTCTCCTCTCTCCCGGTTTTTATTTGGTTCGTTTACGCGACCGCTCTTTCTCTCTCTCTCCTGTTTCGATCGAACATTCTACGGTCCTTTTTCAATTTCATCAATCTCGAATCGAGTAAAGTTAATCGATCCATTGATCGATTTGACTTTAAAAAAAAAAAAAATCAGGACAACATTTAAAAACGTTCGGCCACCAAAAACAATGCACACAGTGAAGACAAACGCACAAGGAAAGACGCTTTGAGTTTGCCTTTGCTTTTGCGGTCACTTCGCGTGCTGAACACAGCAACGGCAACAACAAAACTCACAAAATAAAATACGACAATAAACAAGCGGAAAAGAGCTTACTTTATGCTATGAGAATACATCATTTGATCTGGATAATTAGTCATGAAGGAGAGAATGTTGTTGTTTTTTTTTTTATCTTCAATTTGACGAATTTATCTTCGGCTGGCATAAAATGTGAAATGAAATGAGAAATTAGTGGGAATTGTCAAATTTGGTTTGTTAATTGTTCGTTTCGGGATATTAATGAAGTCTTTTATATGTATAATGTTCGGTAAATAAATTCAATCACTATCTGTATACGTATATAAAATAACAATAATCTGGGAATTTCCGAGTGCCGCTGAAAAGAATGCAGTGTTCTCACTGCATCAAGATAAGAAGCAGATCAGACATTCGGCATGGTGAAGTGCAGAGGTGCATGTTACATTTTCTCTCTACCATTTAATCAACCGAAATCGAAGTGAACGTGAATGCTTATTATAAAATCGTAAAACAGTCACACTAGGAAGTGTTGACTAGAGCCTCATTGTTTTGGGCCAAATAAAACGTGGAGAGAGGCAGAGAAATATAACATGCATATACGTAGTATATACTCACAGAGAACGAAATTAGTACGATTGACATACACATATATTGGGAAGTTTTTTGATTGCCAGCGCCATCTATATGACTTTCAGGCGCAATGTATTAGTATATGTTTGACAGCTTAGTCAAGAACCATTTCTAGTAAATTTACAAACAAAATTCAGTTTGATATAAGAGGTATATCAAATAACCAACATTACTATTGGCGAAAGTAGTAATATTGTATGTATTGTATCTGCTCTGCTGTGCAATATTACTACGTATTTGGTAATTTGATAAATTACCATTGATGTATGTCAATCGTACTAATTCCCTTTTCAGTGAGTATATATATACATCATGGTGATTTTTGCCGATTTGCACTTTTTTTCTTCGATCGATGTTGCGCTCTTTCTCCATCCGTGTCTAGACAAAGTGGATGCCGCTGGCTTTATTTAATTTATTTTTTTTTTTTACTCTGGGAGACAATAGAAGAAGAAACCACTGGCCAATGTGCAGTGCCGTGCCGTGCCTTGCCGAGCGAAAGTATCATACGAGAGATAGCGTCTATATCAAATCGATCGGAAACGATAAAAAGATGAACCTATTGCGATGGCATCACAGTAGCACAACTCTTTGCCTTCATTGCAGTTTGTATATAGCATATTTTATGCTTTGTATTCATTCTCTTTCCAACCTTTAGATCTCACAGTTGATGTTAAGTTTTTTTCTTATTTTCCTTCACTTACTTCCAAATGAGTTGATTTTGATGGTAAATTATCGAACAACTGATCGCAATTTTTGCACGAAGATTGAACATTGAGAGAAAAAAGAACAGCGCTTTTAATACGGAATTCACACTTCAAGCCACCCATCCTGTGTAAATATGACGGTATTTGGCAACATATGAATGATTGAATGGCAAAAAAATGTGTTCTTAAAAAAATCTTCATCTTTTCACATGGTGGAATTATTTGAGCTCAAAATTAAGGAAGCACTAATTTGGCAACCGAAAATGATGTTGCTGATAAGTAGCTCACGGGGAACAATTTCTCGAAGAAAATCGTTATCTTGCTCTTGACAACTGCGAGGCCACTTTCGCTGTTTAATGTGTATTTATAAATTCATATTGAAGTCTTTTTCTCTTCGTTCGTGCCAATAAATGTGTTAGTGTGTAAAAGAAATCTTTTTGGATGAAATGTGAAATAGGAAATCAGTGCTCCAAAACAATGAGCGAAGAACACAAAAAAGCAAACTTTTATTTATATTTTACTTGTTTTTCTTCAGTTTACCTTGAATTCGATGACTGAATTCACTGTTTGATTTTAGTTTAAAGTTGTAACCTCGATGTTATTCATCATCAAAATCGCATAATTTTTGGCAACAAATAATGGCAATCATGTGTGTGTACGCATTGATAATTTAACGCTCAATCCGAATCTCAATTTTAGCTCGAGCTTTCTATGGAGTGTTAACAATGTAATGCTCTTTTTCTCTCTTCATCTTATTTCTCTGTCTCTTCGAAGCATCAGATCGAAGAGAACAATGGAATAAAAAGAAAATTGCCTTTATTTGGCTAGATCAAGTCAATGGAGAATGCAGACAGATAGATTGATGATGCTTTCACAAGTATTAATCTATGTGTTGCACTCTCTTACATGTATCTCGTCCACATCTTTGCATTGAATGATAAGCCAAAATCGATGTCAAACCGTGAAGATTTAAAATTTCATTTGGAAAATCAATAATTAATATACTGGTTAAGGCTATAGGTGTCAACGAACATTTTTTCGAACAAAACATCTCACGATTCTTTCTTTCATAATTTTTTTTTCTGTATATTTTTTCTAGTCATTTAATATATCAAATTGAACTTAAGGCAGAAAAAAAAAACTTGATTGGTAATATTAACTCTAACAGTTCAATGTTCCAGAATCCAGATATTTAACGGTTTTTCAATCAACAAGAGTGCGTGGTAGTCAACAAATCCTACGCTTATCATTCATGTTTACGATTTTAAATAGATATATGAGCCAGAAATACTGTGGCAGCTACCCCCTCCCTTGAATTGCTTGTTACCAACGAGAGAAGAACCAAAGCCAACATTTACGCACGTTTGTATATTCGTTGTATTGTGATTTTTCAACAACGCCAACAATAATAATAATAACAAACATCGAAATTTAATTTCAGTTCGATTATTGTTTCACATTTTTGGCCGTTTGCAGGAGATCGATGCGTGTCCGATGCGCTTTAATGTTGCATATTTACATGCGCCTCTCATTCGGCACTAATATCACGTATTACGATGTGCATGGACAGAATGCAACGAAACACCAAACCACGAATAGACACGTTTCTCTTCGTTAAGGGTGTTAAATAAATAAATATGGTCGGCATTCAATTTGAATTTCAGTCGAAAATGACGGGAGTTCGAAACTAGAAATGGGAAAAAGAATGCTAAGATTAACTGATGATTGACATTTTCAGAATGGGGTATAATGAGTTTTCAATATCGTTTCCGATGAACTAATTGCCAAGCTTTCATTCCGGCAACGTTTTTTCCCTTACAAACTGACAACGGAAATATGTGTGTGTGTGTGTGTGTATGTTTCAAAGAACAAACGATCATCATCGAATATTGATTCTATGTAGTTTGCCGAGTCAGAGTTGCATTGGTGTCAACGTATGACCGAAACAAAAACCATTTTGACGCGTTGCACAAAAAATATCCACAGAAATTGTCATTGTTTACTTGCTTCTTGGAATAATTACTATTATATGCAGTCAAATAGGTTTCTGCAAAACAAATAGTAAGTTCAATTGAATATCGATACTTTCTCGAAAATGTTAAACGCACTTTTCAAAGTTATCGCCATATCTCTATCGATTACTTTGTACAGTGAGCAACCGACGTGGATATCAGCTCAATTATTATCTGTTCGTTTCCCTTGTTTGTGATAAAATATTGTCATGTGCATAAGAGATATATGTGCTGTGTGTCATCATAAATCAGAATGAAGGAAGAATACAAGTGAAGTGCAATAATGTTCATGTAAAATGGGGTACAAGGGACGAATAGTACAAATTTTATTTCCATACAGTCAAATGGATGTGTATATAGTAAAAATTTTCTACATTGGGTCAACTGTTGGTGGTCATCCCGTGAACTGATGATTTCGAGTCGACTTGGAATCGAATTTCCAATTGAAAGTTCTGAAATTGGAATGGTTAATTGAATTTTGGCAATTTATTTTGGATATGAGGGTGTTTCAATGTCCGTATATTTTAATTTATTTCCCATCAAAAGTAATTAAAACCAAGAGACGAGTAAATTGATTGGTCAAAAATCAAATGTCCCATTGTCTGCATGCCAAAATTTGAGTTGCATGCTGAATGTGTGGTGTTAATGAACATGTAGAAGGCGACGAATTTCTGAACGCATCGTCAACGGTCAGTGGGTGATTTTGATTTATTCGATTCGTACTTTTTTTTGTGAAGCAGTAAATGGTACTATCGAGATCCGATTGCTACCACTTTAAACGGCGCATCGAATGGAAAATGATGAAGACATTCGAATCGCTCATTTGCACACAGAAAATTGAGCCATTTTTGATTTTAACGGACCGTGTTCCATTTCTGGAAACCGCATCGCACCGCACCGTATAGTATTTACAAATACCATTCATTTCGGTAATGATTGAAGGCATATATATATTTATATATGTATACATAAAATACGGCAGGAACGTCACATATGAGAGCAAGAGACATGCACATCGGAGAGAAGCAACAGCGAACACAAAACACATCAATACACCCATACACACAGATATACGAACAATCTATCGCACAGCTTACAGTCATGCTTGCTTTTTCAGTATTGTGTTCAGGCCGCTGGCTGTTATTCTGTCCTTCTCTTTCTAGTTTCTTTTATGTGCACACATTTTCGTCGGTTACTGTAGCTGCTGCTGTTGCCGCTGCCGCTGCTGTTACCGTTGCCGCTGTACACATTTTACTTAATTTTTTTTTTTTTTTTTGTTTTCTCGCTGTCTTTCCATACATATATTATATTTTGCTCTTATTTTCACAACTCACTGTGTGTACTACATTTGGTCACTCAGTCTATAGTCGACATTCAAGCTGTTCGTACGTTTTTTCGATGCACAACTGAGCAAAAAGAAATAAAAAAAAAAATAAAAAAAATAAAAGAAATTGTATACACACGATTCAGTTTTGAGAATTGCTCACACACATGGTAGTGGTTCGTTGACATGTTTATATAGAAAACCATCAAGTGTATTAAATTACCTTTTTAGCACAAAATAAAGAGAGGAAAAAATTACATATATACGTGTATTCATAACATCAACAAAGAAACGGAAAATTGATAGATAAAACCATCCCGGCTAATGCATACATACAGATATGTCCGATAATATTCATGCAAAAGAAGAAAAAATCAACTATTTTGTCAATTGATTTGTGCAACTGGATAAATTGATCCAATTAAAAAGTCAAACATCGTGGAAAATTTGAATTTCAATGTTAGTGCAAAAAAAAAAGTGCAAAACAAAAAAAAAATGAATAAATGGAAAACCCAAATGGCAAATTTTGTGAATTGCTTGTAATTTTGAACTCATTTGAATAGTCATACAGGATTTTGTTCGTTAGAGACTTGGACTTTGTTTTGGGAAATTCCCCCCATAAAAGGACAAACTATTTTCAAGAGCGTATCTACCAATTTCGAACCGTTTCTATTGAAGTTTCGGCAACCGAACAGAGAGAAAAATCAGTTTTGATTCTGGAATAGTACGAAACACACGATTTCGCGATATCATGAAATTATTGCGTGCGATTAGGCAAATGATTTGGAAAGTGTGAGGATGGAAAATTTCACGCAGGAAGAAGATTAAAGAAAACTGCAAAAAATGTGTCAAAACTACACATCCTGACAGATGATTTTTTTTTTGCAAATCGAATGAAAAAATCCTAAAGCAAAGTTTATCGACATTGTTTTCTGAATGTTTAAAATTAAAATGTCAATCTCTGTGAGATAAAGTGTTTCTAAATTGTGTGCTGCATTACTAGCAATGGGACAATTTTTTAAATGAAAAAAAAAAAAAACGGCAAATTTCCAAAGTGAGTTAAATCGGCGTGAGTGAAACACCGTTACATTAAGTGGAATAGCGATTTTTCATAAACAGCGATCACATTTTTTTTTCAAATTGGTTCTTTCGTCTGAAGACGACAGACACATCGAACAAACAAAATGCAAATATAGAACATAATTAGTCGCTGTGTATCGTCGACGACGTTTTGGTTCGTAGTCGTCTTGTTCGTTAGTCGTTAATCCCCGTCGCCTGAGATCGTGAAAATTCATCCGTTCGTTGTCATGTTGTTCACTCAATTCGTAACGCGTCGCGCACACTCATCCACACGGAGACATTCAAATACACGATTGCACTTAATCCTATAATATTCGGGTGTCTCTCTCATTAAAGAAAAGTGTAATCAGAGAGAAGAGCAGAAAACAAAAAAACACACAAACCGTTCAGTGTACCGTCTAATTTTATCAGCATTGCTTCCGCAAGAGAGGTGCTCTTTTGTACGAGATCCAATCCACGTACATTACAATACGCACATATTGATGAATCGAATTGGCAGCGTTTTAAATCAATTCAAACGATCTCATTATAAAGGATATGACTTACCGTGGCCGGTGCAATCAATATAAGCTTGGCATTCATTTGTAATAAAAAAAAAACATTCGTTGAACAACGCGTGAAATTTATATTTCGTCCATTGCGTCTAACGACAAGGACCAAATAAAATAATAAAATGATTGGACACACGGTCAATAAATCATGTGAATATGCTGAATTGTAACACACCACGGTGAATATGATAAAAAGTCAGTTTCATCAGAACAAGTGGAGAGCCATGAACAGAGAGCCGCGGTGTACTGAAAAACATACTAATCTATTAAAGGTGAAATTGAGTAAAAAAAGATATTACTAATCAATCAAGAAAAAAATAATTAAGTGTTGAAACGAAGAGAAATAGAAAAAATTTAACCGGATCTCACAATCTCTAGCTCGATAGTGGATGTTTGCTCATAATCAATTGGAAAAGAAGGGGGAAAAAAACTCAAAAAGCTTCTTTTTTTTTGTTTCAATCAAACGAGGCAGCATTTGAATCAGAAAGCGTTAGCGACGCGTAATAACCAGAAGAATCTTAGAACATTCGGATATCCAGTTCCGAATTTAGCATATATTCATGTCTCGTTTAGTTTACTACCTTTTTAACTCGTTTTCACCCGCTTTCGTTTTCAACTGAAACGATGGTATAAACGGCATCGCGCGCACGGAAAACTCGCACTCACACAGTTTACGAAGGAGAAAAATAAGAGAAAAGAATCCCGTCTGAATACAGTATCGAAACAGCGACTCATCAACACACAGAGAAGTTGAGAAAGATAGCATTTTTCATCATCCAAAAAGAGACTTTAATAAATCACTAAACAACTTTGAATAGTCGTGAATACAATAATTTAAAAATAGACACACGAAGATCTCCACACACCATCTCAAATGAGAGAGAGAGAGAGAAAGAGAGTCTCTGCCATTTTGTTAAGCAATAGATTACGTCGACGCTTGAATAAATGTTAGAAAAGAGAGTTCCGGAGCGTATCATAAAAAGAACATCGGTAAGGAAAAGCGAACACAACATTTTCATGTATACCGATGCGAACGGCTGCCACAGCACGGGAGCGAGAGAGAGAAAGGGAAAGACAAGCACATAGAGATAGACGGTGAAAATTATGCAGCAAGAAAGAGATGAACAAAACTAGATACATGAATTTATATTGATCAATATATCTGGTTAAATTTGGCGAAAATTGAACTCTAACCACGAATTTCAGTCCAAAATCAACAATAACAAAAAACAACAGCAAGGACAGAATGAGAAACGGTGATCGTTCAAAAAGAACGACAGATAACGAACAGACATGGAATACCTTTTTTGAAAATGTTCGGTTTTTCACAGTGTTCTTTGAATTTGTGCTCCATTTGACTTAAACTGAAAGGAGATACGCTAAAAGTAGCAAACGGTATAAAGTGTGCGTGTGAAAATTGTGTACGCGTCTACACGTTGTAAACAAAAACCAAAATTAAACCGCGTGCAATCGAGATAGACACGCTTTTCCTCCGACGAGCAAAAATAAAAAAGTGTACGAATGGAAAGAAACTATTAGAAGTTTATTCACCCGCAAAATTAAAAAAAGAAGAAGAAGAAGAAAAATATATATGTATATAAAGAGCGAGGGATATAGAGACTGCATTGAAGTTATCACTGAGAGTGTCTTGTCATGCGCGCGCACTAGCTTCTTCCGAATCTGATGAAATGCTCTCGTGATATCCAGTGGCGTTAGATTTTCATATCGTTGACTGTTAACCACATTTTACAATGCGGACAATCCAATTCGATTGGTTCAAAAGCCGAATGAAGCATAGTTCAGGTGTTTTACAAGTTTTTACTTATGTGCCGGAAGTTGAACAGACGATCATTGTAGTGCCAATTTGCCAGATTCAAACTGAACGGATCGAGAGAAAAAACGGTGCTAACACTCCAATCACGCAGTTTCGACAAGAGTTTCCGATTCATTAGGGAAAATTCAAAGAAGAAGAAGAAAAATATGTCCGATGCATACGGATCGATTCGTCGCACCACCGAACGACAGGATCATTAATCAAAAGAAGGTGAACCGGTGACAATCAGTAGACAGCCAAGCATCAAATAATAACCATCGCTGAAACGTAGGAAAATAAAACGAAAACGAAAATATAAATTACTCAATAAACATTTATCCGAAGAGTTGATTTTGAAAGAACGTCATGAATGCGCACGTTTTGCGCAAAAGGGATCTGGCTAAAAATCTAATATTCTTATTGTTGCCAGTTCTCGTGTCTTGGTGCCAATGTTTAAGTGCTGCAGCACCACCGTCAGTTCTCGCAAATAAGATGTTTGGTGATTTAAGCCACAAAAATAAACCAAATTATGTACACAATTTAGCCGGTAGCCCGCACGAGGCCGAAATTATCCACGATAACAATGCAAATGATTTTCGAATTGTTCCAAAGCATGAAAATAGCCAAAAATTTACATATAATATTCACAATAGCAATGAAAAGCAAACACAACTGAATGCAATTCACACAACGACGACGTTGGTGCGAACGTCTACGCATGGTGAAAATGAAAATTCGGTGGCCAAACGGTTATTCAATTATAACGGCCACTATAAAGTAATTTACAGCGATAATATAATGATTGATCGAAACGATGACGTCGAAGCATCGCCATTGCAAAATGATCTCGCAACATATGATTCATTGCGTGAACGGAACGTAAATGCATCGCAAAATCGTCTGTCACAGCAACAGCGAATGAAACGGACGAAACACATTTTGCTTCGAAATCGTAACCACCACCACCAACACCAACAACAACGAAAACAATTACGAGTGCTGCCAAAAACGACCATTAATTTTGATAACGATAATAATAATAATGATAGCGTTAGGAACAGTAGTTATAATCATGAAAGTAATATATTTTACAATTGGAGTAACGAACACAACAGCAACAATAGTAGTAATAAGAATGAAATCATTGCCATTGACAAGCGACATGCATACAACCAAGAACGTAACGAAGATGCGAGTAAAACGAAAGCGTCATTCAACTACAGCCATTCGAATCGAATTTTTAACGACAGAGATGAAAGTGAGTCGCGACATCAGCAAAAGAAAATTGAGCGTAATCGTCGCGAATCCAGATCAGAATTGAAACAACTGCCGTTGAGCAGCAACGGTGGCGGCAGCGCATTCGTCCGACTCAATCCATTCTCAAATAGCCGAATCAATGGTTTGACATTTGGCAACGTAAATCTGCCGAGACAGCGACGATTTTGTTCGGCTCGTGATCCAACAACATTGGCATTCGAAGCACCAACAGTATTTGAAGGCAAAGTTCGGTCAATGAGCTCCGATCGCCGACGAAACTTTTCCGTCACATTCGAAGTGAAGGAGATTTACAAACGGCAAATTGGACTCAAATTGCCGTCATTGATAAGACTTAAATTTACATATAAAAATTCTAGTGAATGTGACATATACCGCGAAACATTTCGATCTGTTGGCCATGTACGAGACGAACTGGAACCAGGGAAACTGTACATTTTATTTGTGAATCAAATCGACTTAGGCAATTTTTCAATTCTCGGACAACCATTGAAGCGGACGCGAAAAACGGTCACCGATGTGCGAACGGGTGTTGCTGAAAAATACGGTGAGTTCTAAGTGGTTTGATCTCTTTTCCCCAGTTTTTTTTTTCTTCGGCTTTTCATTGTTTTCTTCCATTTCTTTTTCGCTGATTTCGTTTTGACAACATGTCGCTCTTTACATTTATATATCTCGAAATCTAACGCTACACCAAAATAGATCATTCGTTAGTGGTGGACATCAAACGAGTTAAGCGATAAGAGACATTAAGTAGAGACTGTATTAGAATCGAATTTTTAAAATAGGGGTAAAGACCAGGATGGACTCGAAAGAGTTCTGTATGAATGAGAGTAGAATTTGTTCGAATACTTGTATGAAAGAAAAGATTATCCATCAGTTATTTTTTATCTTAGCAAAAGATTGATTGATAATGTTGTGAAAAATATTCTATTTTATGAAATCGTTTTTGATGCTTTGTTACGATGAGTGGGCCACATTTTGAATATTCCATTTCAGTTTCCCATTTTAAAATTTTATGTCCGAATTAAAAATCGTTTAAGTGCATGGTCGTTCAGGTTCGGGTTGGAATGTCCAAACGTTACATATGTGCAAAAAATGTCTTATTATCTTTTCAATCGCATAAATATTATAAATGCACGGCAAGTAGCACTAATAAGTTCATCGAATCATCTGGATGAGTCGTTTGCGTTTGTTGTACATATATTTCGTAAACATCCGCACCGAAATGCAATGGCCATTATCCATCGACCATTGAATGTATTTGATCTACCTTTCTTCTGTTTTTCCTTCTTTCTCCCCCTCCGCTCTCTCTCCCTCTCTCTCTCTCTCTCTCTCTCTCTCCCTCTCTCTCTCTATCTCTCTCTCTCTCTATCTCTCTCTTTTTCTCTCGCTCGCTCGGTATAATGAAGAAGAGTGTCTTCAATATACACCAACTAGTTGTTTGCGAATATCGGCGAACGTTAAATATGCAGTGCAGCATTCCGACATGAGGTTAATTTCGCTAAAAATGCAAGTCGTGTGAACTGATGTAATCGAGCATTGTGACGAATTCCATTTGTCAGCCGGTCGAATAATGTCGTCATATTTTGGATGACAATTGATCTTTGTGGAAAATATAAAATGATAGTAGCCACAGCACACTGAACATAAAAGAAGAAGAAAAAAAACCATCAGCAATTAATTTATAATGTAATCATCGATTTAAATTAACCTCGACTGATCTCAATCATTTGCTATATTTGAAAGTGGGGAGCAGGGTAAATTGCAATTGAACGAGTGACATTCCAATGTGATTTTATTTTTTGCGGTTTTTGCAGCAATTTCAATTCTAATTTCGATTCTTGTTAATTTCAGTTCGTTGGAATTAAAATAAAAAGTGAATATTGTGGTCGCCAGATTTTATCAAGTCTGCGGCAACTTTTACGACTTTACGGCCGACACTCGATGTGCGGGTGAAAAAGGAATGAACTTAAAAAGCATGCGAAACTATATGCATAACGATGACACTTTTGTTTTTGGGCGGCACAAAAAGAACTTTGCTGGACGGTAGACTATTGCAATTCATGTGCTTCTGAATACATATGTATTCGTTAATAGTGAGAGGAGGTGAATGATAAATGATTTTATCGCCCGTTGAAGTGCCAATACATTTACACATACACCAGTATCATCGTGTGCGTTTGATTTATACAAACAGTCTTTGACGTTTGTAAAGACTTTTTTTTTTTAAATTGGCGCCAATTTTTCTGATGCACAATGTATTGTTGAATAGCAAAATGAATGCACATTCATCCGGATATTATGGATAGACACATACACACACACACACACCTACATTGGTTGCATCGTTCGATGTTCAGTTGCTCTGATTAACATACATCGTGTATTTGGTTGTGTCATACGGGATAGAAAAAAGAAGTTGAGACAATGCAAGAACAAAGGGGTAGATGAACTGTCCAATATGGCTCATCACAGACACACGCTGCTTCTTGCAATGTAAATTTCTGCAATGTATAAATTATAAATGCCTCCGTCTAACTCATTTAAATTCCATTTGTTTAAATCATATCAATTACTCGTACTCATTATCTGAAACTGAAATGGAAACCGATTGCTGGGCGGCCAAATCACGTTTAAATGACCAAGCAATGTTTTGTCCACACAATGTACATAAATTGTACGATGGGTAATTGTTGATGAATCTTTCAATTTATTCAGTAAGTCCATTGTCGCGACCAGCACCATTTGTGATTAAGTAGTATTGATGAATTGTTCTACCATCAGCTCAATTTTCATTCAAACATCTATACGGTGTAGAAAGCAGCATGCATTTGAAAAGGCAGAGATGTGTTTGGTGCCGTTCTGATGTTTTTCTTAAAACAGACATTGATTGTTATTTGATTTGGTCCACATGGGAAACACCTCTTCAAATGTGGGAGAAATCTGTTGAGTTTACGAAAATAAAAACAAAAACGATATGAAGAAATAACAAGAGATTGAGAAAATAAAAAGAATTTACGGTTTCTTAGCAGATAATATTGAGCGCATGAATCTTTCTCACATCATTGAATGCGTAAAATATACAAAAGTGGCAATCTATACGGTTCCTTGACTTTTTCGAGTCTCTTCGTTGCTTCGAAATTGCGATGGGTTTGCAATGAATTTCGTTTTTTTTTTTCTTCGTTACGTATGTGCACCTCGGTGTCTTTTTTCGGTTCTTCAGAATGTCGCTTATAGACATATATGGATCAAAAGGATGAAAATTCATCACAGCCAATCTGTGCTGACGAATGGATCTCGTCGGTTGGATGTTGTGTGTCCTCTTCTCGCCGCGTGCACTTTATATTGGATTTTTCGGTATTTCTGTGAGAGAGTGATGTGGTGTGTCTGTGTGAAACATCAAAGGTTGACTGTGATCTGTATATGGTAACACTATCCAACGTCGAACAATGAAATGTATTGTAAGTGCATAATTATTGCTTTTTCCAAAATGCGAAAACAATTGCCTGCGTGTTTGTTATGTTTTTTTTTTTTCATTTTCTTTTCGTGTGATTTCACTTTATTTTTATTTTCTGGTGTGGAGTTGGTTTTTTTTTTTACATTCGTATTTTTATTTCCCATATTACATTCACATATTATCAAGGAGAAGAAAAAAACGATTCACTTATTATTATTCGCTGTTGTGCGGTGCGTTGCGATGTGTGTGTATGCTGTATTATTTTTTTCTCGCATTTCTGAATGCATTTAAACAAATATAATCAAAACGACAATGCCGATTGATTGAAAAAGCATAACAAATCGTTCACATTTTAAATATACGTATCGATCACTGATCACTGAACTTACGAAGCGCGGCAAATACAATTCGAAAAACAGTAATTGTATACATCTCTCGCATGTATACATTCGGGGCACATTAAGGCATGTCACCGATTGATTTTGTGCTCACCACTGTTCACCATAAATCGATGATCCATTTTTGAAAAAAAAAAAAAAAATGCAAAGCTGAACGATGCAAAGAGAAAAAAAAACCACACACACATTTCATACGTGTATCTATCACACACATCTCTCTCTCTCTCTCTCTCTCTCTCTCTCTCTCTCTCTCTCTTCATATACACATACTCAACTTATAATCGCATTCACACAAATGCATGCACCAAAATGAGATCAACCAGCAACGACAATGAAAAGAGAGGAAAAAAAATCACAGACGATTGTACGTAGTTCAATCATACCTATTGTCTTCATTCTTCGCTCGCATTTTCCACCGTGTTTCCAGTAAAGCGTGTGCGCGTGCGCTGCTGTGTGTGCGTGTTCACTTTACGTATTCATCGTTTTAACCGAATGCCGAATAGCATGAGATTCTTTTAGTTTTTATTTTCTTTTTTTTTTATTTTATGTTATTTACATTATTTTATTTATTTTTTTATTTATTTCATATCTTCGGTTGATTTTTGTTTTTCGTTAAGTGTTTCGCATTTGTGTGGATTATGCTCGTGTTTATACGTGCTTGAAAGTATGCCTTTGACGTAGCGATTTCACAGACGATAAATGCAATCATCAAAGGAATATTAAATTACTTTGTGGCTACGCGACAAAATTTACAAAATATTTAGTATATTTTGGCTGTAGCGTGTATCGGCTGCTGCTTCTGCTAGTGATGTTTTTTCTTCTTCGGTTGTTTTTGCTCTGGCCTCTTAGCTGCCTCGGTTGGTGATGACGGTGGTGTACTAATGTTGTGCATTTGAAGCTTGCAGTTCTTGGTTATGTGTCGTATTGTAACAATTCGCATGTTCGCACAGACTTATATAGAATCTACGCTTAATTCCATGTATTTCTTTGTCTCAGTTAGAGAGACTCACAGTGTTTGTTGTCTTATGCATTTTATTTCTACATTGGTTGTTACTTCTAACCTGTCTTCTGTTCCACATGCAAAATATAGTTTTACAAGGTTAGATTACATTATTTCCCAAGTTTTATGCGAGTCTGTGTGATTGAGTGACTGTGTTGTGTGTGTGTGTGTGTGTGAATTTTTGCGTAAAGGCGGTTTTATTCATTCGTATGCAATATTTATGTGAATGTGTTCATTCAACATGTAAGTGCCGGTGAATTTTGAGCGCATCTAAATTCATGGCTTTATGATATGCGTAAAAACGGATTGCAATTTGACATTAATTTGGCCGCATGATCAGGTGGACAGTGAATTTTGCAACTGCACGTCATGCACGTCAAACAGCCACCTCGTATGTCTCTTCAAACGGAAATGCCGTTTCATTACACTCAGAACTGACATACAAATCTTCAACTCAATTATCAACGGCTTCGCATTTAATTTTGCAGGCTGAGGCAGACCAAATTTCAGATTGCACGAAATCTAGCACACAAAATCCTTGACCATTTTTAATCAAGGTACGCGGTTTAGGAAGCTCAATTCAATTACACCTCACATTAACTAACGTAAATTTATTTGTTTCCATGAATTTCACAGTTGAAAATTGGGAGGAAAAAAAGTAGCCACATGAATTAAAATCGCTTAAATGAATT